AGAGCCAGAGAACAGGTCAAACCTGCTCAGTGACATCCAAAGTTAGGCTGCCATCCTGAATCTAAGATCCACCCATCTTATCACATGTGTACCCCAATCCCTCCCCTTCCTATTTCGTGTATACCCTTAGATAGTTCCACTACCATGACTGTATTGCCTACAGTACAACCCCTTCCTGTGACATGTCTTTACTTGTAATTAGAGGACTTACACACCCCCAAAAGATATATAAGCCTTGGTTAGTAATAAGTCTCTCGCTCTCGCTCTCTTGTTCCTGCAATTCCCACCTTCCACATCCTCATGTGGACTAACAAGTGGGACTGAGGTGAGCATGCTACCATGAAATGGGTCTGACTCCTTTATTTCACTCTCTGTCTCTCTTACTCTCTATGACTTTACTATAATCTTTACTTATTATCATTGTACAATTGAGCTTGCCGGGCCTGTGATGATTTGTTAGAGGCTGGCTCCCCTGACATATCACAGTAGCAAAATGACAGTGATGAAGCAGCAATGAAAATAATTTTATGGTTGGGGGTCACCTAACATGAGGAACTGTATTCAAGGATCTTGGCATTCGGAAGGTTGAGAACCACTGGTTATATAGATAGCTGGGTTACATGTCGCTGTTAGGGGCCCTCCTAGAACTCCGGAGCAGTCCTCAGGACAACAGAAGGAAGTGTTGCTAGGTCCGGCATCACCTTCACAATCACTGCTATGCTTGAGCCGGAGTGGCGACCCCTGTGTCCGTTTCTCTCGTTGGGCATCTTCCTCTTGTTCACTGGCCCCTCTACTTTTGGAGACACCCTCTAGAGAGAAAGGATAATTAGGTGTCCTGGTGGTTCCACCTGGTCTGTTAAGTGGAAGGTCAGCGGTTTGAAACCACCAGCCACTCCTTGGAGAAGGATGAAGCTTGGTACCCATGGGAAGAGTGACAGTCTCAGAAACCCCTGTGGCTGATCCGCTCTGCCCCATAGGTCACCGTGGGGCAGAACAGACTCCATAGCAGGGAGTTTGTCTGTGGGGAAAACTACCTTATAGCCCTGATTTCCTTGTTGTTGATTTGGGGTTGTTTTTTTTTTGTTTTTTTTTGTCTTAGACATAAACCTCACTATCTACTAAATATTCGTATATATGTGACCTGGAAATTCTATTCTTCTATGTATAACCAAACACAAGGTGTACATATGTTCACCAAAAGCTATGTTCAAGATTATTCATGGTAGCACAATTTGTAATAAACCCATACTAGGAATAACCCATAGGTTTATCAATTATAGATTGGCTAAATTGTCATACATCATATAATAGACACTGCAGTGATGAAAATGAACGACAGATACATGTACCAACATGGATTAAGCTCAGCATAGTGTATGGTTTTGTTTATTTGCATTTCAAAAACAGATCATGTTGATCTACTGTTTTAGAGAGAGGTTACCCTTGGGAGATGGGCAGTTAGTAACTGAAATGAGATTCAAGTGGGCTTCTGGGGTGCTGAAGATAGTCTACATCTCTAGCTGGATAACATAGGTTCTACCTGGATAACATAGATGTTCACTTTGTGAACACTCCCAGAAACAGTGAGTCTCAACAGGGGTCACCATGAGTCGGCGTTGACTCCATGGCAGTGAGTGAGATGTTGTACTTCAGTAAGAAAAATTTTATTTTTAAAAATTTGGATCTGTAGAGATTGTGATCTTTCTGAGACTGCATGCAAAACTTCATATGTAGGCATAAATAGGTAAGTTTTTTTTCTGGAAAGAAGAGTCTATATCATTTTCATCCACTTCTCAAAATAGGGCCTGTGTCCACACTGTGTCCACACTGACCTCCTCATCTTGCTTGTCCATTCTTCTCCCCAGTCAGTCTCCATGGTTTCTCCTCCCTCTCCCAACCCTTCTCCCCTCTGGGGGTTTCTCTTTCTAGAGCAAACCTTTTGTTGCTGTTGCTGTCAAGTTGGTTTTGACCCAACGAACAAAAGAACAAAACGCCACCCGGTCCTGCACCCTGTTCCCGATTATTCTTAGGT